CCTGGCATCAATCATGGATAACGACCTCGACGACATCCAGTGGTCCCGTGGTCGAATTGGAGAAGTCGGGCAGGCAGCACTGAACGCCGCTAGCATGGCTCCTTTCATATTTTGCCACGCTTCGTCCACATGTTCACTGCCACCACAGTATTGTTTTACTGTGGAAAGTTGTTGGGCTAGCTCAGATCGATACTGTTGAGCTATGGCAGTTCTTCGAAGATAGGGGATTGGTACGTTTCTTGCCGACTTGGGAGGGCCTGAAGGGAAACGAACTGTCAGGCGGCGCGCACTATGGCGTGATCGGAATCAAGTGGCGTGCCCCAGAAGGAACGGCAGTCTTGAATTGTGGCTCTCCACCGGTGACTGATGGCCACGTGGTACAACTGGGTCCACGGTTGATTTGTAGTTGGCGGCCGCCAGGTTACGCGGTGCGAACGTTTATGTTGAAAGTTCGTACTTGCCAGAAACAGTTCGTGATCAGCACACAGCTGAAGGAGTCGATCTCCGTTGTCTGTGCGGTGAGCATCGACTCCGAATCGACCACCCAAATGTGATTCCAAGGAGCTCAGACGACCTACTTGAGCATTCAAATCGCCTGTGAGGATCACAATGTCGGTACTTTTTGCCTGACGGACGAGCCCGGATAGCTCTCGATAGAAAGTATCCTTCTCCGCGTCAGAAATGCAGTCCGTTGGGGCAGAAACCGACACGACAAACAGGCACCGCTTTTTATGCCGCGAGGCATTGAGCTTGATTTAACTGGATAGCCGGACGGCGCAGAGACGACTGTTCACTGGGATCCAATCCTGTAAAGCGCGTTCAGCTCTGGGGCTGGCCTTCCTGGCATGGTTTCACCTTGTGGAACGAGGTTCCAGCCAGTGTAACCCGCACGATCATTGCAGCACTCAAGCCCGACCACCACGTCAAGGTGGCAGCTTTAGGTCGGGATGAATTCATACTTCATAAATCCCAGTGGAATGTGACATTTGTTAGAACCAGCGGTGTCGGATCAACCTGATTTCAGAGATGTTCAGCTGGGCAGAACAAAGAGTGGTTAGTTCGACTGGCGGTAAAATTAGCAATGCTTCTCTGTTATAAGCCAATTCCTGAACTTGCTTTCATTCAGTCTGTTTCATCTCATATGTCTATAGCTCGCTGATTAAATTCGAAAGTCCAGTTGGTTTTGCAAGTTATATGTCATGCTTGTTTAATTCTTAGCAGAACTACGTTTAATTTACACATATGGTTAAAAGTTCCTTGCTAAATGATCTTTAGAAAGCTGACTGTCATGAACGACTCGGTTGGAAGCATGGCCCATTGCCTTGGAGATCCGCTGATTTTTCAACGAATCATGATAACAGTAGAAGCGTAGGAGCTGAATACACTTCTGCTTTTTCAACAGTTCATGACTCTCTTTTTATTTATCAACGATTAGCTCACATTTCCGCTTGATGCCTTTGTTTTGTTTGCTCCATATTCCTGTAAAATCAACCGAAATAAATTTTGCCAGTACTCATCATTACAGGGGACGCCAGAATAACTTAGTAGTGCTGTGTTCAACTATATGAAAAATCGTACCAAGAGAACGGTTCTAATCCTTCATTCAAGCTCCTCACCAGGTTCAATAACGACGTTACTTCTATCTAGCTTACAATAATAGATTTGTGCCCTGGTAGAGGGATGATGTTGATTGACTTATATACTGACTGATAACCTCCAAGACGAGGTACCCTCTTTTAATTCGAAGGCTTCAACAAACCAACGTAAAATGGTATATCCTTTGCGCTGGTTTTCGCCAAGTGCGATCTCTAGAATTTCATTTCGAACGTTTGTTCCGCAAATGACGCAATGTGACCTATTCTCTTCGACCTCAAATCACTTGCCGATGTTTCGTGTGTGTGAATATAACAGCCACGTTATACTGCCTAAATGATCGATCAATTCGTTATCCACCTTAACCATGAAGTGGATCAGGGACAGTTAGTCTTGCTGTCAACCGAGAAAACAATCAACTGGTAGCTATCAAGGTTATGCAGCTAAGCAAACAACAGAAACGCGACTTTCTGGTTTCCGAACTGAAGGTGCTAAGAGGACTGCATCATAAGAACATAGTGAATTACCTGGATTCCTTCTTACGACCACAAGCGGACGAACTCTGGGTGATTATGGAGTACCTGGACGGCGGTGCATTGACAAATGTCGTGATGGAGACAATAATGGATGTACCAACAATGGCTGCAGTGACAAAAGAATGCATTCAGGCTCTGGTCTACCTCCATGACAAGAATATCATACATAGGTAGGTCTGTGTGTCGGTGTTGTTTAATTTATACCTTCCCGAATGGTAATAATCTGACTTAAGATATAGACAACAGGACGGAAGATATATCTGTCTAAGAACGGTTATGTCTCGCTTTTTATTAACTTTGTTATCGTCTCCGCAATCCACGGCATCATGGCTGTGAGTCCGTTTAAGCTCATCACGTTGCCCATGAACTTCGCTGGTAGTGGTTGTGATTTACTTGTCAAACATCTTTCTGATGAAACACGGGTGGCAACGTATACAGTTGTACAAGAGACAATCGCGGAACTTCGATGTTTGTTTTCTAACAGCCGGCTACGCTATTAAACCTACATTGCGAAGGAAGTAAAACTCTGGGCCTTTGAAAAAGAAGGACGTTAATTTTAAAGCTGAAAACAGAGATAACGTAACAGATCTGTGGAATGGGAGGGAAAGTACGTAATAAAAGTCATAGAGATCTACTGAGGCTCTGCGGAGACCAGTGTCTTCACAAAGTGACCCTTATCAGTAGAAATAAATGTGTTTCAATAGTGACTGATGAGTTGGACCAGATTGGGTAGACAATGATGTACAAATCAGTTTCCTATTAACGAGGACTATATTAAATAGCTTTTTATAGTATTCTAAAAGTAAGTAGGCGACAAAAAAACCGTTCCACACACCAGTTAGATATCAGTGGTTTAATGTAACATCTGCATTAGTGTGTATATAATCTCCCGGACAGATCCGAGAGTGGGATCTGAACGTTTTATTAACCTTGTGAGTATTGCCAATTGAAGGAAAGGTTTGAGTATGTTGTTCATCACCTCGCCATTTCGGAATACTTGCTCCTTTATTTTAAAGTCACGTCTGTTCAACAAAATTACTCACTCTTTCTCGTCGCGTTTAGCTGAGGCTATGGGAAACATTTTTTATCCGAGTAGTTAAAGCCGAGGTCCTGTATGCCTCTAGTCCCAAATTGAGGAGGAAACGCACAAGGTTACTTTGATTCCCTCGCATATACCTTGCAAAAGTTATGTATTGCTCTCCATACATAGTTCCACGTAGAGGGATTACGGTAAGGGGTTACGTTTCTTGGTATCTAAGTAGTGGTTATTCTTTCCCATTGCTAGGTGCTAAGTGGAATGCCCGATTTGCTTTTGAATACGGTAACCAAAAGACTTCTGTTTTAACTGGTTCCATAAACCTTGTGATATAAAAGTTGTTGACAAGTTCTCCAGTAAGAACAACGATCCATTGTGTTTTTTATTGTCTAATGCGAAGTCAATCCGAAACCAGTGCTTTGTGACGGAAAACTGTTATTGATTTCTAGCGACCCCCTTTTTCTAGCTTAAATGTACCTTACTTTCAGAGATATCAAATCAGACAATGTGCTTCTGGGACGACGTGGACAAGTAAAGTTAACAGACTTTGGATTTTGCGCACAGCTTGGAAGTCATCACAGTCAACGCATGACGATGGTCGGGACACCGTACTGGATGGCACCGGAGGTTTTGAATAAGAATGTCGCATACGGACCAAAAGTCGACGTTTGGTCTTTGGGCATTATGATAATTGAAATGCTTGATGGTGAACCACCCTATAACCACCTCGATCCAATCAAGGTCAGTGTTGCGACAAACATTCTTCTCCGACTGTACAATTCTTCCGTCATAATAATTGATTTTTAACGCAGTTCTCAACCCGTCTGTACTCCAGTTTAACCGCTTGAGATATATTGAATAAGCCATGGTTGGGTTATGATGGAACGACATACTATTTATTTATTAATGTTTCTTGCTGCTTGACATTTAGACGTAACCAGTAGCCTTTATCAGGAGTGGAATCATCAAAATTAACAAAAAAGGAAGCAGAACTGACAGCTATCGTCACAATGGCCTTGGTTTATTGGTCAAAGAGATACACCCAGATTGGCTGTTTGAGGAAATCAGCATATTACCCATCTGATTGGTCTGGTCATGGATTAACCGTCACCAAACAGCTAACCGTCTTCTTTGACTTCATTCCAAATGGGGTGCCATAGACTGCCAAAAATATCTCTCTACGTACATCAAAAATCTTGCTTGAAATGGCTTAGCTTAGTCGAACCAGACTATGAAGTTTCTGTTACGTCATTCAGAGCGATGGTTGAATCCACTTTTGGATTTTCGTACTAAGAAACGCTTTGAGGCGGAAAGCGATGTTATTCGTTGTGCCCATGTAGTGCGTCATCTCTTTTATTTCATAGTTCCTTCTGGATAAGCGAGTTTAAATCCCCTGCAAAAAATTCTACACAAAGTCACTCAGTGAGTTAAAATCAGTAGGGTGGATCAGATCAGTTCATATCCTTTTTTCCTGTTTTAAGGGGCAAGTTCGGTGAGGATATCACCTGAATTTGGAACATGACCACTACTCAGCTAACGGATTGTTCCTACGTTATTACCGAAAAAGGCTAAATACATGTAGTTTCCTGATCGAAAAAACTAATCGGTTTCATATGAATCAGCTAGGCGACCAAATTCGTATTTCCGTTCATGCCTACATCCGAATTACCATGTACACTGTTTCGTCGCTGTTTTCATAGACATTAAGTTAATCAGAATTGAATTCAGATTCGGTCTGTTCCGGTTCAAAACTAGGTACTCCGCACAAAGTACGTTCGCACACATCTCGTGCGCGAGCTGACGTTTACCGTTGTTCACCAGTTGCACATATTTCCTCTGTCCACCTTCTAGGTAATTCTGCTCATTCAGACTAACAACAAGCCAAGTCCGAAAACCACACCCCAAGACAGTTCTCTGAAAAATTTCCTCGAAAGATGTCTGGTTTTTGATGCAGACGAACGAGCCTCCGCCAAAGAGCTTCTCAACCATGCTTTTCTGCGAAAGGCTGGCCCGCTGACGGCTTTGATCCCGCTGATTGAGGCGGCAAACAATGCAAGAAGGCATTAGCTTATTTAGTTACCAAGGGGCAGTTGTAAAGAAATACTTTCTTCTTACTTTCTTGCTACTCCGCAAAGATTCTCCTTCCACTTTTGATCCAGCCATACCGTCATCGACCTGAACGGGGTGTATCAGATGCCCAAAAACTTGTTCTTTTCACCTTTATCCAAGGTTAACGACTGACCCTTGCACCCCAAATTGATATCAGCGATTGTTACCGCACTTTGTGAACGAATAAACTGATATTTACGATTACCGGTAATCCTGATATGAGCTAAATAAGCGCTTGCCGGCTTTAACAATTTGCGTTTATTGTGTACAGCTTTTTGCTGGTAAAACATAGCCTCTTCAGTTTTGGGACTATTGCTAATCACGATGGCATAGGCATGATATAGCCAGTGCCGTGTCTATAATTCCGGGGTAAGGCTAACAAGAACAAAGTCTTCTTAATTTTGAGTAGGAAGAATACATAAGCACCAAGCCGTTTTATTTACAGTACAAACCCAAAGTATCAGTCAGTTAAACTGTAAACTAACGATATACATCGTCTTTACATCCGGCGTCGAAGGCCTGTACCAGTCTGCACTAGTTAAGTGCTTCCTGTGAGAAATCCTGCTAATACTGCTACATACGTGCCTGCTCAGATGTGGCGAGATACCCATCTTACAACTTCCGTATAGCTGATAAACTCCAATGAGTGAATTTCACTCCGCCTTTGGTGTTGATCGTGAAAAAATTGCGAACGATAGTGACTACGTGCATAAGACCATGTACTACGACTACCCACCGGACAACTTGTGATTTCGGATTAAGTTCTTGAAGGCACACAAAGATTTCGGTAACATAAACTCTATTTGGCCGCTAGGACCCCGGTCACTGCGGGCGTTCTTGTCACGTTTTAAATGTAGCCTTCACAGGAAAGCAAAAAACAGTAGTTGTGAAGCTAAATAGCCTCACTAGCCCTAACAAGCATGTAGTTTTGTTCTTTAGTCCTCTGAACAATAGTATCAGCCGAATTCGGAAATGTGGAAATTCGGACTCGCTGTACTGCCGAGCTCAGATTAGTCTTCTCTAACTTGCGCGTTTAAATTCTTTTAGATCACAGATTTTCTTGGACGGTTACTCATTCATTCGAATCTTCAAATCCCCTTGTTGCCGTCCAACCAGATTGCATCAACTTCAGAGAGTATTCAGCCAATTATTTATCTCTCTCTCATTGCACGCATGATCCGTTTTCATTTGTTTTGCTTGTCTTCACTGTAGCCTCGACAAATTTAACGTTGATCCATTAACTAATGTATTTCTGTAGCATATGAATGAAGATAGCTATGAAACCATTGCTGAGCCAGTAACAGAGCTTAAACGAGCATTTTTCTTTTTGTTGCATCAATGTTAAGAGAACAGAACTGTCATGCTTAATGATGTTGGTGATCTAAGTTCGGTTCACTCAGTGTTATTTTGTTATCATGCAGGGGTACAACTTTGAACAACAATTTTGAGTTAGGAGACACGATGAGAGACCACCCAGAAGCCTGAGTTAAAGAATCAAAATATCATGCTTTGAAAATGCCCTGGCATGCAACGAGACCTCCGATGAAAAAGTACGAATCATCTAGTGGGACAAGACACCAGAACACCTTTCACAAATCTGTCACCCATAGTTTATTGCTAGATAGTTTCTCAAGTCTGTGCACGAAAATTCAACACAGCCTAACGCAAAAATGTGACACTCAGGATCAGTGCATTTTCCCAATCAAAGTATAGTTCATTGAAGGTCTCACAACGAAAGTTCGTATTCAGTGAAAGAAACCTTCCTTTCGTAAAAAATCTCATGAATGTTTATTCAGTAAGAGCTAGGAATGATGATGATGATGATGATAAAAAGGCTGTATCGCTAAAGAGTCTCCCATCAACTCAATGCTTGAATCAAAGCAGCTAGAGGAAAGAAGTAATGGAACTAATCCTTACCATAAATCAGCTTAAGATTTAATCGCCCGGACGGCTTAATGCCAGAGGCAAATTCATCACCAACTTAATTTTCGTGCCCGAACTCTGGCATCCTGATTAGTAATTCCAACGTCAAGGCACAGACAGTGCGCGTAAATCACTACGCACACTGTCTGCGCAACAGCACTTCGCAACAGCACTCCTCTCTGGTTGATTGACGGCATTCATGTGCATCATGTGACCATCAACTGCGTTAAGAATGCTGTAGAATGTTTACACTTGGCTGTCTAAGCACATGAACTACAAGTCCAACATGCGCTCAATCTGATTCCGTTTTGTTACCTTCTCTGTCAGCTCTGAACACTTGAGTGCAGACTTGCCACAAGTCAAGGTAGCATGCGATAAAACTCACCGTGAAAATTTCTAGTTTTTGCGAGTTAAAATTTTAGCAGTAATATGAAAACCCCATGTGTAAATCCTTGAAATTTGGGGAATACACCGGTCTGCTAAGGCTCCTACAAGCGACCACTCAGTGTGAGTAGTAGGAGATTACGAATCCAAAGACTGCCCACTTATAGCAACAGACAGACGGGCTGTTTCTTTGATTTAAGGTGACTTTGGTTCAGAATCTCAGTGAATGCTCCCTAGAGTATACTAGTTCATTCAGTACGCAAGCCTGCCGTGAACCCAGAAATGAGTTGTTGGCTTCTCTCAAACAGGAATAAAGAAACATTAAACAAGATATCATCAAGACATTACTTGGTTGTATGCTGAAGAGTTGTCTGGTGGTTTTTAGACCAGATGATCATCCCAAAACCCGTTGACAGGATTGTAGATGAGGCGGACTTATACGCATGTCGTGCTTATTTTCACTTCATGCCGTCTTTAGTCCTCCTCTAATAGGAGGAGGCAAATTCACCTGATGTGAATTTGAAGAGGGACTCATTCTCGCTTATGATATTCTTCAACTGAGCATGCATCATAAGGACCACCTCGTGTTTCAATTGGTGCCGATATATACACATTACATTATCCAGACGGAGCGCACCACTCACATGTTTAATGGAAACTCTTCGACAGCCCACGACCAGTATTGCCTCCTTAGTCCACCCGCCTGTGGAGCCTGAAGCTGGCCGAGGGGTGTCGAAGAATTTTCAACGTCCTTATGAGTAGTGTGTTGGATCAGAGCTTGGTTAACTTATGAATCTGGTTTCTGACCGTATTCGTTGCTTGTCGGCCGAAATTTGTACCAGACAACGAAATGCAGGTGTACTGATATACACAAGCGACTCTGCTTTTTCAGCCGATGGAAAAATAGGAAATGTGAGGTCATGATCATACAAATAAAGTCGTCTTAAAATTGAGCGTGGATGATGATCACGTCTTTAGAACGTTACAGTGTGAGTATCACCAGTTGCTTAAACATGTGACTGAAGATGTGGAAAGCGGTGAACATATAGACAACAACCTTCTCTTGTGTGAGATATACTGAGTATGTGATTTGTAGTTTTCGCGCTCGGTGTGCATTAACACATGAAGCGTGAAGTATTTAGTGAATTGGCTTGCAATAGGTCACGATACACGGGTAGTGCAACAAAGGTATGGATCATGATGTAGATTAAACTGCAGTATACTAGGTCCAGTACCATACATATGACTCGAATGACAGATCCTCTTCAAGCCTGTTTCACAAATTCAAGGGCGGTAATTAAAAGGTCAGCGTGGCTCACAGACTGGGGCACGTGATGAACAAATTATATCCATTTAGCCAAATCTATATGATAAGTTTTCTTCACAAGCAGTACAACCTAAGAAAGACCCTCTGAATTAAACGAATGCGTTATTCTTAGAGAGACCACGTTTGACCATCCCCGTAGGTGTTACCAAACAGAAACAAAGGTGCGATATTCGTGCTCCGATCCATATTGTAGATCGGTAACAAAGAGCTGACCATATGGCATTGTATCCGTTCAAAGCTTTCCTCGGTGTCTATGGACGGTTTTCATTTGCCTGATGCATAGCAACCATGTAGGACGAGATGCGTAGAACACGCGATTTATTTCTCCTACGAGTTCACCTTAGCAGCACAAACTCTAGACAAAATCATCCTATTCTGATTGTGCGCAGGCCTCGAATTCCACAAGTGGATACCCCGATGAAAAATTTTGTTGAAATTTTTTTTCTCAAGTAGTGCTGCAACCAAGTTGGCCAACCTCTTGCATAGTTACACTTTCATAGGGTAGGAGAATCGAGATAATACATGTACCTGTATGTTCAATTCTGGTAAAAATCTAGATCACCTGCGGTTTCGTTGAGCCAAAGCAGCATTTTGTGTGTAAATGTTCGGCACTGAATTGATGAAAGCTGTCGAACTGTAAATAACTTGAGGTTGCAGCATTGCATTACAATATGCGCGGTGGGTTTTACCTAACCATTGACTTTTAAGGAAGAGAGTACGCGGTTGGGTAAAATAAAAAGACTGTCAGAAAAACCCTACTTTGTGGGAGGTAGAAATGTGTCAGAAGGTAGTAGAGCTGATTAAAGTGATTCCCTAGAAATATCTTGTACCTTGGATGCATTTTAGGATATTCTGAGGTTATAGACACAAATGCGGTTGTTTAATTACTAGTTAACATATTTTGCGAATTGTCCGGATGATTTCAAGTAAATTGCATGAGTATTCGAAGTTACATAATGGCCCCACCACCTCTGGTATTCTTCTGTTTTAGTCTTCTTGTAATAATGAAGTACGTAACTGCTGAATTCGGACGTTAGGTTTGGAGTACATGGTAGTGTTTTAGAGGCTGTGAGTTGTTGACAATACACAGCTAAATCGTTAAGTGTGAATGGCTAGAGGAGGATTCATCGGGAATGCAACAACGCGCATTGGCCATACTTGCGTTTTGGAACGTAGGAGGGATACAGCCACACCGGCTGTTCTTCTTTGATGGGATTACGCTAACTTAAATACATTAAACAAACGGTATCTCAAATATGGTGCCAACTGAAACATGATGTGGCCTATGTGCAACAAATTCAGTTGAAGAATATCCTAAATGAGCAATTCGGTCGAGTATCACGTGAAAACCAAATTGATTTGCATATGAGTGTATTTCTCGAAAAATCTGAAGCCGTTTCACTGACTAACTTTCCAGTTTCGTTGTAGCTACTCAAATTCGGTGGGTTCCATTAACTAGGAAAGCTTGATCCTAACAGAACCCATATAGTGTTCGTGGGTTATTCAAGTGGCGTGGCTGAACATGCATTCTATCTATCGATGGACAAAGACTGAAAGAAGAAATGAATTCTGATGTGCACGGATCTTTGAAAACTAAAAGCTAGTCCCATATTTTTTATCAGTGCTGAGCAAGGAGTTAACATCAAGTGTAGAGTTCAACCTCATGTCAAATCTAACCAATCCAAAATCCTTTCATCTATATAGTTCTATTCGTCAAACTCAGCAAACGTCTCCTGAGGAAGTTACCGTCCTCGAGCCACCCAAAATGGTCCAGAGTTTCTTCTCCGTCGAGGCAATAGCCACCTCAACTCACCCTTTTGAGGGAACCCTGCACCACACCTGAATAGTGAAATGCCACTGGTGGATAGAAAACCTAACTGACTGGTTTGGGAGTTAATTGGCTATGTTCGCAGGGACCTACCGTCTCTGATACAAACGGATGGTGAAAAGCAAGGCAGAAGGTGCAATGCTGCAGCCCGGAAATTGGAAACGGATCGGTTGCATCGTATTGAAATATTAACCATTGATATACTGATTCTGTGTTCTGAAACTCAACGCTATTAGTTGTGCTTCAGTCGTGTGCACTTGATGTAAGGATATCTATGTCAATTAAGAGTCCAGACTGGAAAAGCCACGCAAAATACAAATCAGTCGGCCCGATCTATGTTCACTCATACGCGTGCATACACACACGCATCTATCCCGAAATTTGACTGGCACAGTAAACCAACCTATCAAAACATCGCCTTGCATGCATCGACCAAACACCAGCGTTGTCATGTGACCTATTTGACGAATGTGGTCTCAACACAGCACTTTTTCGGCGCACGACACTTTTCTAATGTTCATCGGGGCTTCGCACGGCCTGTGACTGATTGCATCAGTCTGGATTCAAGGCCGACGGGAATGAGGAGACGAATAGTGCTTTGGTGAAAGTCAGTAAAGCGATATACCGCCTGTTAGTGATCTACATCAGAGGAAATTTAGTGCAAGGCAAGTTAATTTTGCTGAGTACAGTTGCCATTTACACCACAGATTTCCAGCCCTATTTGGACCATCAGAGCCATATTATTTGTAAATGACAGGGTCCAGGAATTTCAAAAATAAATCTAGCCAGCTTTTAGACTGTGTTCTTATTTCGGCCTGCTTTCCTAAGGAATTTTCAATACTCTGTCAGATAATCGGGGCCATTACATTTAATGTAAAGACTAACTGCTTATCGAATTTTAAAATTCAGCTAACCTTAGTCCATGACATTGTCCATAATTCAAAGGCATCGTCATACCGTACAGGAATATTACCGGTGCCACATGTTAAATGAGTGAGATCCTTGTTAACAGGCACAACTGAAACAGGGTTTGGTGGACCAGCAGACCGAAAGCCAAGATGCCAAACAGCATTACAAGGTCGACAAAGTTGATTTATCATTGACCGCAAGTCTTTATTTTGTGCAAAAATATGCCTTGCTGCCCCAAAACAATGCATACTATAACAAAAGATTCATAAAATATGGAACCAATTTAATCCGAGCAAGGTGGCCCTTCTTTATAACCACGGCTGAAGAAAGGGATATTTTAAGAGCTAATGTGTTAGCCTCGTGGCCTACGTTAATAGCAAAGGAGTTCCACTCCGAAAAACCCATCATTCTGACACTCGCCACCGTTAGACAAAGGCTACCGGAGCGGTTTCCCCGTGGCTAACCGTCCCCAGTAAAATTAAGGCATAACATAATATCACAGATGGAGACCAACATAACGACATGTAGACATATTCTTATTTCTACAGACCAGTTGCCAAAATCTTCAGTTACCAATAACACACTCCAGCAGTTCTGGAACGTGGCGATTCACTGGGGAGGTGTCTGTTTGCTGTTTTATTGCAACTGATCAGTTACCTTAATAACAATTATAATGATTATAATACGTATAGTAATTGCTCAGCTATAGCGCTCCTTGGGGGTCCTAGCTGCAATGTGATCCCATAAACGTAAATGAGCCGAGAAACTGCCAGGCTGTCCAAGCCTACGCGATAGCAGTCAAGATGCCGGTGCTGAGATCGAACCACGGGGTTTCCGGTCAGTAAGTTCACGCCTTAACCACTGAGCTATCTCGGGCACACGGATCATCTATGGTAGGAGCTGGTGGTCTTGTATCAGAGTCCTGAACCCAAAAATGGTATTCACATCAACTCAGGTTTGCCCATAAACCAGTCTGTTGGGATTCCACTCTTCCCATAGATTGAAGCTGTCGTCAAAACCGATTCAGGATTACAGTTTGCTTGGTTCACTCCATCAAATTTGTACCATCAGAGCGGACAAGGAAAAAACACGTGACATTTCTTATTAAGACTTCTTTCTGCCAATCTATGCTAAGAAGCCAAGGAGCACTGCAGATTTCTATCATCCTTTTCAGGAATCCTCAACACAACGCAACTCACTAAATTCCTGGTCATTTGACCTCTAGTCGCTGATCAGTAGTGTGATTAGCTGTTACTGAGACAGGACAGTAAGTGCTCCATCATACTAGGGTTCTAAGACAATTTGTTCATAAAGCCGGTCGATCACAGAGGAATGTCAGATATGCTTTGTTGATAATTATTTTCGTGCCAGATGCGCCAGTTGCGGATGGTCTGAAAGACTTAATTTTTCGATTTCTAATGGTCACTGATAACGACAGTATATTCAAGAGCTCACAAGTAGTAGAAGTCACTGTTTCGCGAGGTGGGGTCAGCTTTTATGAAACCGCTAATGTGGAACTGATGCAGTTTAACGTATATTTCCTCTGCGCAAAAAATGATTTGAAAAGGAGCTAATATATATAAGTAAAATAGTCGATCTTATGCATCTTTTGACAAGGGAGTGACACCGATAGCCCAAGTTCACAATATGCTTACCAGCCAGACAAATGATACGATGCGGCAATTTCAGTCGATTATTTTGTAACACTCTTCCCACTGTCCGCGGTTCCAAACTGGATGATCTAAATAAACGGGTCACTTCAAAAGGGATTATCCGGGTAATCCAAATATTCTCACTGTCGTGGTGCTACTGGAGTGCCCTCAATTGAAAATCCGCTTGAATCTCACTTGGTGATTATCCTATGGATGCTGTTCTATCTAGCTTACTTTCCCTAGATTCAACGACCTCTTCACACTTTTGTAAGGTTTGTTCCCGGACGTCTAGCGGCGCCTCAGGAAAACATTAAAGTAAAATCCTTCTGCAACACGACCCGGTGGTGATCATGCCATACCGCATCTGACTTTTATCGGTTGGTTTTTCTTAACAGCTAAGGGACACATTTGAACCCTATACAAATTTGCATCCTCAACCCTACTTTTCCGGAAGTAAAAGCACTCATATGGTACCCTTGCACAATTAACCCCGTGGGCAAACCCAGGGTTAAAACATTCTCAATTACACTGGCCGCCTTTGTGTGGTCCTTGGGTAACTTTCACAATGACGTTTCACCATAGTTTTCTTAATACCAGTAAACGTCTTTCTAAGTTGCACCATTCAACAATATCCCTGCTAGCACTGGCAGATTAATATCTTAAAAATTTCGATAAACGTTTTATGCTTCAAAGTTATTCTTCTGGTTTACAGATCACTAGACTCCGGTTCACCAATAACGGGAATGTATGCGCATCCTATGACAGTGTTTTGTACGAAACTGGAAGAAGTACCCACTCATTTGAAGCATACATACGCTGTTCACTTAAAATATTCTCCTACGAATAAACTTAAGTATGTTAGTTTTCGCTGAGTTAACCTGCTAGAAACTGACGAAAGTCCTTCTTTGGGTCTTTCGCATTCTAGGTCTAAAATGCTTTCCTAAATAGGTGACTGTGGTTTGAGGCTGTCTCCATAGTGGTATCATAGCAGCTTACTATATAAAATATAGCTGAGCTTTTCGTTATATCTCTCTTTTTGCTAAAAAAAAATACCGAAAGCACAAGGTGGCTATCTCTGGTAGACAACCGAGCTTTTCGTATATCTCTCCTCTTTTTGCAAAAAAATACCGAAAGCACAAGGTGGCTATCTCTGGTAGACAACCCAATCGCGTTGAGCAATATCTGAGTGTGACTTCATGTTTCCTGTTTTCGAGTTGAGGACCGGCTTTTCTGAGATGTAGAAACAATGATGGTAAGCTTTCTGTTAACCGATGATTGGTCTTTCGGTTTATATTCGCAGCTCACGTTCAGTTTCCTTAAGGTTCTTTCTTCACCCCCCCCCACAACACAGGATGCCGTTTGGGAAAAAGTTCAAATTCTTTTCGAGGTTCAAGCACAAGCGCAAAACCTCTGTACCGGATGAGGATCATGCCCCGCTCACAGTTGATGACGGAGATATCCAGAAATATAGAAGACAAAACCGGCTTTCAGCTTCCTACACATCCTTGGATTCTCCGAACCACCGTGTGTCCAGTTCCAGTACTTTGGAAGAAGTGGATAAGGTGGAGGATGGCCGAGCCAATGGAGCCGGTGCTGGGAATAGGGTATGTTTTTTAAACAAGATAATGCAAACAGATGCAGCCAAGCAAGCCGCCCTTAAAATGTCTTTTATTTAAGGCTAAGTTATTTTAACAGATTCCCACCCATCTATTTCATATGTTATGGCCAAGTAACTGTAGAATTCGAAATTTTCATGCCATTGTAAGCAACAGGGACGTAAATGCTTCTTAGTATGGTGCATGCGATGATTTCATCTCATTGGTTTTAGTTGCATTTAAAGATAATCAAGCTCTTTGCAGTGCATATACGGCGAAACACCAGTTAAAATTCCATTCTGCAAATAAATTCAATTGTTCAACGTTTTCCTTCACGTTGAGAATTGTGATATATATATATATATATATATATATATATCGCACAAGGCTTTATCAGGCTTTACATGTGCGATATTTCGATTAGCAATTGTACACTGCAGCGGGACCTCTACATGAGTGGCACCTATCTCAAAACGCGTGCCCACACTGGAATGTGGCCAATGGTTGATTCTTCTTCCTTCGTTGTCTTAGATCTGTGTTGTTCACTTAGGTAAGAAAAAACATCCATACTTAACTAAGTTTTGATGCAAAATGAAGAAATGAACGCCACTCAGGACCGAAAGTGTGAGCAATTTAGGAACAGAGCACGTAATCCCGTGGCTTCCTTTCATCTTGAGACGTTGAAATCTAGGAAGATCATTGGTTCTGACGGATCAGACGATATTCTCACAAGGTAAGTTTATTTTCTACGTAGTAGTGCTATCTTTTGTAATTGAAAAATATAGATAAACCCACAACGGATCTGACATCGGCGTGTTTAACGGAAGCCAGGGCATTTCACCTGATTCTCTGGGCGTAAAACAGTGGCTAGTTGTATGCATCAAATGATCATTACTACAAGGGAAAAGTGATTTTTCCCACTGTTCTGCTCATTTGAAAGCCCAGCTCCCCTATCGTAGTGTCAGGAGCAAAGCCCTTCACCGCGAGGTCGTTTATTAGTAAACACCAACTAAAAAGTTACAAACTATTGGAGAGAAAAGCAAAGGTCTCCTATGCACATTATCTTTAAAAACTGAACATTCTCACGCGTCTGGTGAAATAGCTCATTTGACTAATTAAACGAATGCCTTTCACCACTACAGTGGTGAAACCTGTACTTTCACGCGATTGATCTTGAATTGTACAGATACATTTTCATTGTATATGTAAACTAATAATTCCAACCCGCCTTAAGGTATTCTCTCTACTGACGCCAGTTAACTGCATTCCACCATTTAAAGACCCACTACGAAAGGATATCAAACGGAACGCGTGTAATGTGGAGCAAAACCACTTGTATTCTCGACCATCCATAGAAACTCCGTGCAAATACTTGGTTTGTGGCTGAAATAAGTCGATGATAATTGAGTATGATGCCTTACATGTATAACAGATATTGAGCTTGTGGTCATGCTCGTGTCGATGAACAAGTTCTCAGAAAGTGAAATTATGGAAGCAAAGGCCTCGAGAAAGCAGAAAATGAACATTCATCGTCCATCAATCCAGTTCAACAACGGAGGTAGCCGAATTAACTGGATGTTGCAGCTGGGATCGCACAAATTCTCCCTAACTACGTATGACCTGCGCATCTTACTGCAGTACAACTTTCAACAGCACCACGAAAAAAAACAGTCTGTGATGTCGGCCAAATTGATCGATTAAGGAAAAGAATGTTTCAGACGTTTAGCTGTATATACTTTTTGAACACAATTTAACTCTCTTGTAAGCGGCCCAAACTTTTTTGGATCACTAAGCAGAGTCATTTCACTTAAGGATACGAATAGGAAGTAGGTACCTTACCAATTCACAAGATCAACCTTATATCACAATAGTTTTCCCCCAAGGTAATGTGCAGTAAGCTAAATCACAAATTTTCTGGATGCGCCTTTTATTCGGTAGTCACATTCATCACCAGGAGGTCATTTGCTTATCTTCTATAACAAGGTAATATGACAACCATATTTGGGCTGACTTTTGTTGTGTCTAGAATAGACACTTAAAAAACGAAGCTGATAGTGTTGGTTTACAGTTTGGTTTATCCACTCTTTCATTTGGTGGTGGAACAAGTCCGGTTGCCTGGATAAATTAAACTGAAGGGAAGACTGTATCAAATGTCTAAACAACACTGCCTGGCAGGCGTGATTAACACCCTCGCTTTGTACAAAATCACTTCATGTTACCTCCGTCTCAAGTTATTGTAAAAGCCATCGACGTCCATCATCCATCTTTCCGATCGGATCACTTCTTCAAGCAGTGGAAACGTTGACTTCGATTCTTTACTTGATTAAATCTCCACCTCTCACCACTCGTTTTGTAACGCACAAGCATAATTCAACTATAAACAAACTCGGACACCCCCATAGTACAGTTAAATCGATATTCAGCACATGATCACGTGGTACGAATGACGCCTAAAAGTGGCACGGAACATTTTCACTGCAAGCTAATCAAACTGATTGTTAGTTTCCAATGGCCAGATGATACTCGTTGAAGGGGGGTTGTGACGTTTGCGCTGCTGATCATTCCCAATAGGGATGAAACGCCTGTTCGGTTTTCTTTTGCTCTTAAACACAGAATGACTGTATCTGCAGGATCAAACTCCTATTGTTATTCTATCCATGGTCAATGCTGTGTAGGACGGAGCCACTGCCTTCAACAAGGGAGTTGTCGCCACGCGTTTAAACTTTTCGACTGGTATTCTTGGATTTCACGTAAATAAACGTCGTATAGTGGAATGGGTAGCAAGATCTCGGATAAGACTTTCGATACAAACACAAAGTTTAATAAAAATAATCCTTGGATATTTTAGCTGCCGAAATGCCTGAATTGTGTCTTAAAGTGTCAAATCACACAGCTCACAAACCTCCGACTGATATTGGGAGTGTGAATAGTCGTTAAACAATAAAAAGAGGAAAAATAGGAAAAACGAGATTTGAATGGACAAAGCTTCCGGCGAATTGACACACTTGTCAGTGTTCCAGTAGTTATATGGGATCCTAATGCAGATAAAAAATTCCTGGGATGGCTTACTAAGAAAAACAATCTCCCAGTTGTGAACCACTGTTTTAGTCTTTGACCTTTGGAGTATTTTCATTTTCGCAATGTGTGCAAGATATCAATTTGTTGTTGCCACTTGTAGAGGGGTATTTGAGGTGGAACCCGTGAGTAAGGGAAGAAACATCCGCATCAAACCTCAAACTTTCAGTTTCATGGGTCCCGGTGCTCTAAATAAGGTGATTTGGGTTGAAAATAAAGATGCCGTTATAGAAACCTAAAGGCTTCTTGTCAAAACGGGATCCTTATGACGACTTCTTGAATCCGGTTTAGAGGCATCTTAAATTGGCTGAGACCTATTCTATCCTTCGCGTGGCTTATAAAACTACATCTCAGGTCAATACAAGGAAACCCTATGAAAAATTACTGGACGTCTTCTCATGATGATATACACATGGTTTCTAGATTGAAGAAAAAAGTCGTGGCAGAGTGGTGGCTGTGGAGTGCAGATGGATTGATTATTCAGATGTGAGTGGATGATTAGGAAATCTGTTTGCTCTTTTGGTTGCATCAACACCCAATCACCTCACCCGCGTGTGAGAAAAAAGGTGAACTTAATGACCGTTGCAGCTACTTTCATGTTTTAGGCATACTGGCACGCCAGTGTCACGAGAGCGATACGGAAGGGTAACAGATATCAAACGAGAAAATCGGGAATCTTTGTAGTGCAGTCTGACGATGTGACATACTATTAGGCGTATATGACAGCCGTTGTCCTATTAATTGTGACTGGTATAAGCTACTTATCCGACTATGTTTTGGCACACTGAAATGCAGTTGAGGTGCGGTAATTTCCTAAGGAGGTCCACCGACTTGTGAGGCTGGACTTCCACTGTTTCACACGAATCTTATTTGGACGGAAATCTGCGGAATAAGCTGTCGAATTTTTTTGTTGACATTACAAGGCTCTAAACTTTGCCAATGCTGAAGTCGCTGTCTAGTCCCTCCTCTCCACGAACGAAATGATGGCGAGCGCAATTCTCGTGTGATCGTCCACGAAAGTTTGGTGCTTTTGCCCAGCGCAATCTTACCGTGAGCCATTTTGACCGAAGATTTGAGTTCGGCCGTGGTTCGTCGCGGGGGGTTATAGTTGTTTTGTCCCTCGATGAAGTGCTTGGTGTCGCAGACGGAACGTTCATTGGCTGGAGCGGACATTGAAATAGAGTGCGAGTGCAGTGAATTGCATATTCCATTCTATTACTTAGGTCGAACAGCTCACTTTGCCAGTCAATCAGGGTCCTCATACATCAAGGTTCACCTCATATTAAGGAGCTGACAGCTTTCAAACCAACCGCATTTGTTGGATTCATCTAATTTTATAATATATTCAATTATCCCGAAAATTTCAGTTCTTAGGACATAGCTGTTCATAGAATATATCAGAGGTCATGATGCACACTATAAGCAACCAAGTAATGTTCCTCTGAAAAGCACAGATGAGAAGTTTTATAGATGGTTCAAAAAATCTGTTTCAAGTTCACAAGTATCACCCTGTCCATAAAAATACATGTGCCGCATGGAACTGCAATCGATTCCGAGTTTTTCTCGATGGTATGTCCAGAAGTGAACTCGCGCACAGCGCTCAACCAGTCTCCTTTAATTCATTTGATGAAGACGCTTTTGTTTTATGAGAAAGTAGCATCCAAAAAATGCCATCTAGAAAAATGATTCTGATTATCTTTGTTTTTTCACTTTGCGAAAAGGGCCCGATGGTAGAGTGCTTTTCACGAAACTGTTTGCTGTTCATCGAAAAGACCCCTATTATGCACCCGAGCAAAACCGACCGTGGCGATCAAAATGCCTCAGATGTTTATGTTAGCTGCCGTAACCAAGAATGGCGCACACTTCAGAAAAATGCATATGTCAAGGAACCTTTGAGTTTATTCATTTTAATTGCGCTCAGAAGTGGATGGTTCATTCAAAAATTGAACTTTACATAGTTCAACGACTTTTTGAATACCAACTGTGCATTCATTTCATGGTTCTGTCTGTTTGCAAAGTTTGTGCATCATTCCTGATGAATTCTGGCTTTACTTAAGGCCAAAGCTCGAACTTTGCAACACGTCAAGGTTAAAAACGACATGGCTCTTCTTAAAAGGTAGCATAAGTGTAAAAGAATTTTTATATGCCACAAAAAACGCCTGGTCTGCCGAAAAATTAAAATACCTCAATCAATAGCAAAGCAGTTGCTATTCATAACAGGTACCAAGCACCTGGAAGCATGTTTGTACTTTGTAAAACCCAACTTCCCAGTCAAACGTCAGTTCACGGATTATTTTTTCCACATATTCTATGCTCAGTCGCCCGTCGAGGATGATGAATCGCAAAATGGTGTATACGATTTTGACTCCGAGGACAATCCACAATTCGCAACACTTGTTCCGACATTCCCACCAATAGGCGTATCACCTATCACATGTGACATAACAAGTGGCAAATTCCGTGGCATTGACACTGCTCTGTCCCATCTGGTCGACGATCTGAAGTTCGACAAAGAACAACGAATAGCAAAGGCCGACCAGATTATCAAGGCAATTCACGCCCTGGAACAAGTTAGACTGCCGAAATTCTTGGGATTCAGTCGGCAGGCGGAAGTGTGCGCGTAAGACTGCGGTATTCACATTGATTCTCTTTAGAAAATTGGCCAAGGTCGAAGAAAATGCTCTAATACAGGCGATTGAGATACCCAAAGCCTACGCACTCCAAAAGGAAGAGCG